TCTTTCTGGGTTCTTCGTCCCTTTGCGGGAAACGGGAGATCGTCCCCGTGGGCGCTGGGGGTGTCCGGCTGTCCCCGTCCCTTCCCATGGCGGAGGAGCAGCTCTGCTCTGCTCCCCGTGCCCCTCCAGCACGGAGGAACTGTCCTGGGCTGTGGGGACAGGTGTGCATCACCGCCACCATCCAGGTGAGACGCGGAGCCAGGAGTCACGGGCTGTAGTAAACACAGCGTATGTAGGGTGGCAGTGAACCCGGTAAAGGTCACATCTTTCTGTACAAACGCAGCTCGTCCTAGCTGGGCTCCCGAGTTGTTGTCTTGGGGACGTGTTGTGGCTGGGGGGAGCCCTGCTAGACCTGCTCCTTGTCTTCGTGCTGCTGTGCAGTTGGCTTTGATCATGGTAGTATTTCCTACAGCTGCTTGCAGGGATCTCCCTTGGCGAGGCCGGGGGGGGGGGCAGTGCGAGCTGTGTCGCACCCCTCCTTTACTTCTTCCTGCCCCCCAGCTGGGGTGGCATTTGGGTGGCATCCAATTTGGAAATAAGACCTGGGAACGTTGTTTCTGTTGTGAGGTTTGCATCTTGAGCTTTAGCTGAGCCTGGCTGAACTAGGGGCTGGCCGCACGTTCAAATTACGTAGTAGCCAGCAATGTAGTGATCCCTCAAAGCGCGCAGCGTCTGGGTGCGTCTTGATGTGGAGCGATGAGGCACAGCAGTGTTGGAAGAGTAGGAGCAGAGAAATCCTGCTGGAGAACTTACTTTCAAGGAGATCAAGAGGATGGCAGAGCCGTGGTGCTGGGTAAATGGCTGTTTTACAGTCCAAGCTGTCAACCCGGACTCCTTCAGAAAAGCTCTGGTAGGTGTGCCCGTATTTTGTGAGCCTCTGCGTGCTTCTGTAGGTCATCACTGGGCTTAAACGTATGTATGGGGCAAACGGGAAAATAACAGCTTTTTGTCATGTTTTCGTGTTCTGCTTCCTTACTGCAGCTGCAGAGTTTTAGATTGAATAGATGTGGTACTGTTAAGCTTGTGTGAATGTGGAGTGGATGATGGACAAGTTCTCGGGTATCGCATTTCCTGGTGGTGGTTGAGATGTGGGTGGGGAGGGGAAATATTTAATAAAGTAGGGATCGCAGGTGCCTGTGCTCTGTGTTACCTGACAGTATCTTGCCTTAGTTTTTAACATGTGATAAGTAGTTTCATTCCTCAGAATTAGAGGTGTGAGCTGTCTTAAACCTTTTTTTTTAAATGTCATATCTAGTTATCAAATGCCGTATCTAGTTATTCAAAAAAGGAGGGCTTTTTTTAGTCCTAGTCTATGTTCTTCTGAAGCTGACATTTAAGCTATTAGCTGTGGAATTAATAAAATATAAAATTAATTTATGGTGTTATGATACCAAATTGTGCAAAAATCCCTGAAAGCCTGAGTTATGTTTCACTGTTTTTCATATGGTGGCCACAAGTATGTTTGGCTCATCCCTCTACCATAAAAAAGGTGGTTTTGGGCTGAGATGCCAGACTGAATTGAAGATGAGCCATGCTGTGTTTCCAGCTCTGCAGGTAAGCTGTCAGAGATGGTTTTGGCCGGTGGCAGGTGGGACTAACCTGAGCTAAAATGTCAGATTGATGGGTTTAGGTTTTTAAACTAACACTTTTAACTGTGATGCTAGTGAGACCTGGTCTGCTCAGATCATCCTGGGTCAGCAGGTGACTGTTGAGCGGCGTGGGGGAGGCTGCTGCTGCTTCTTGAATGTATGTGTGCCGCTCCTTGGCACGTTATGGCTTCTGCTCTGGGTGAAGGCATCACCCAGGCTTTGACCTCCCTCCTGGCCCTCCTGCCCGCCTTGCCAGCATCGCTGTGGCCTGGTGATCTGACGTCAGCGCCTGTGGGGGAGGGAGGAATTAAGGGCAGCAGCTGGGAAAAGCCTGTCCTGGCTCCGCTTTTTGGTGGGACCCAGTTTTGGAGAGACTGGCAGAAAGGAGATCCCGACTGAGGAGGCAAAATCAGGGGGCTGACATGCAGCCTTGCTCTCTGCTTGGCTGGAAACTAATTCCCGGTGATTTACAGCAGGTAACCAGTGCAGAAGCTGTTCCCTGGCCTTACCCCTTCTCTTCCTCCCAGCGTGTGATATTCAAAGCTTGTAGGAACTGAAGTTCTTTATAAGAGTGAATGGCTGGAGCAATATCGGATGCCAAAGAGCTTCAATATTGTTTGAGACCTGGGAAAAAAACCCAACTTTAATATTTTATTTTGGAAAGGGAACTTCTGCAGTGTCTGAGAAGTGATTAGTGCTGCTGTTAAAGGTCAGGTATACTTCTGGGGTATGGAACAATGTCTGTGGATACATATGTGATACTACATATGTGTGTTGTGTCTTCAGTGTCGTTCTGATACTTGAGTATTCACTCCTTAAAACAGAGACTTCAAAGCTAAGGAGGAGCATTAACTGTTTAACACCCAAAGCAATGGCAGATCTGTTGGAAAATTAACAAAGACCCCATTTCGCCTCATTTTGTCTGCTGAAAAGTCATGCTTTGTTTTTTGACTCGGTCACCACCAAAACCATAGGGATTCTTGAAGATATGAGACTGTGTTTTGTGTAATATGGTCCCATTAACAGTTTTGTGGTGAATATCTTTTTATTTAAGGAGTAATAGATCATATTTCCTGATATTTTGTTTCTTATAGGTCTGGAAAAAAAATGCTATTCAGGAATGCTTGAGTCAAGCACAACATGTACCTTGCTGAATTTTTTGGGTTAAAGCTATGTAGCTATTCAATGGCTTGTCCCGGTCTTTTCCTCCCTCTCCTTACCCCCAGTATTTACCAGGCTTAGCAATGATACTCTCTAACTTTGGAGTCGCCAAAGCCCTGGCTATTACCAAAATACTCCAGTATTATGTGCAGAAAAATCTGCCATCCCCAATTGGAGGCTCTCTTGCCCAAACCTGACTGCATCAGGCCCAAATATCTGGCTTTATCCTGTAACACTGTTTCCTTTTCTTTCCTACATAGATTTTTCTCAGCTAAATAATACCTGCATGGCAGCATCCATACTAGGAGGAGAGATGACTTCCTCTAATGTGTTATTTTTATGACACAGAGTTGATCAGAGGGAAAGCTTTTGGACAGTAAGTGCTTAATCAGGGTCTTCCAAAAGAGATTCTCTCTCTGCCCACTGCCCTGGCCTTGCACGGTGGCAGGTTAATCTATGAAATAATCTGTGCACAGAAATACAGCCGTCAAACATAGCTTTTGGGTCATAATATTGGGTGCTTCCAGGGTTTATGTGTTTTGATCTTTCAAGTTTCTGAACAAATGCGTTTTCTCTTTTCATCTTGTGGTCATTGTCGTTGATACGGGGGACACAAACACACACACATCAAAGAAGTTAGGCCTTTTCCTAGGAGGTCAGAATTTATTAAAAGTTTAGTGGTGAACTCACCTTAAAATTTAATGAGTTAGTGCTGCTTTTTGTTATGACAGAAGAAAATGAAGTGAGGAGTCTTTGAAACCACTTCAGATTTCATAAATACTAACAGGCTCTGCAGTCTTCACAGAGAGTAAGTTCTGGATGTTTTTTCTTCACCTTAATAGTACAGTTTCTTTTGCACAGTAAATCTACTTGCCTTGACTAAACTGAAAGAGCAGTTAACCAAAATACTGTATTTGTGGTTAGGAACGCTCTTGCTGGTTTTCCCCTCCTCTCTTTAACACCCAATCCTTTCTCCTGGTGCATGCTCTGGTAGCAGTAAATTTAATTCCATGACTTACAAGACCAGATTTTCAGAGGTGCTTAAATGATTGAAGATGCAGTTTTTTTGCTTCTGAGAATAGTAGAAGGTAAAGTTTCCCAACATCTTCAGTTGCTTTTGAAAAATCCTTTCTATTTGCATCTTGGGTCACCATATGTG